CCCACACCCGCACCCGCCGAGGTTGCCCATGATCGCCGGGGGCCCCGATGACGGGCGGTGTCTCTCCCGCGGCTGGCCTGGGGTCGGGTCTTCGCAGGCTCGGGAGGGGGCGTCGCCCCTCCCGCCCCACCAAGCTACGGCCTGCCGGAACTCGATGGCCACGCCTGGACTGGGGATTGTTTGATCAAAGATTTTATTGGGTTAAATGTACAAAAATAAATAAATAATTTGCCTTGGAAGCACAGAAGCTTTAGGCAGTATCCCCAATCCTCCACCATTCCCAGTTAATGCTTTTCAAACAAATGCTGTTCAAACAAATGCTGTTCAAACAATTTACAGAGATGATCTCACTCCAATGGTAACAAGAGAAAGAAATTTTACTTACAAAAATAGAAGCCCATTTTACATGACATATTCACGCAGATATACTGTGAACAGATTAGCTTCAAAATGGTTAACTTGCTACAGCTGTAAGCCCATGTAAGAGAGAGAAGAAGAAGAGAGGTCCCCTATACTATGAGACAGAAGGCAAGCAAGGGCCAAAGAGGTGAAAGGGTGGGGGGCCAACCGCCAAGTGTGCCTCCAAGCAGAGAATTCGCTCCCTCCTAGATCCTCTTACATGCAGAGTTACAATATCCAACACCCCTTCTTAATGCTGTGTGGAAGAGTTCTCAAGTTTCATCTTACCTCTTAGTTTTTCAGCTCTGTCTCTTGACAAAGGCTTGGTCAGGATGTCTTTTGTTGAAGAAGATGAGTTGGTTTTTATAACTGGCTTTTCTCTACATTAAGGAGTCTCAGAGTGGCTTTCAATCATCTTCCCTTCCTCTCCCTACAACAGTCACCTTGTGAAGTAGGTGGGGCTCAGAGAGTTCTGATGGAACTGTGAGTGGCCAAGGTTACCCTTCACCTTGCATGTGGGGGAGTGGGGAATCACCCGGTTCTCCAGATTCGAGTCTGCCACTCCCAGGACGCCACACTGAACATTATTCCATCTCAATTATGCCATTCTCAGTTAGGTCATGTACTAAGTGGAACTCCACACCAATGTGCTTATTGCCTGTAGCCATTTTTTCTGATAGAAAAATCTTAATGCAGCTCTGGTTGTCTTCTTTAAGTTGAATTGGCTTTTGCTCATCAACTCCAAAGTTCTTTAGTAACTGATCTAGCCACAACAGTTCTCTGCATGCTTCAACAGATGCTATATATTCAGACTTGTTGGAAGACAAACTTGCTGTAGTCAGGGCCAGCTCACTCACTAGGCAAACTAGACTTTTGCCTAGGGCGGGCCTCCGAGGAGGGCACCGAACTGCCCTGCCGCCCCCTGGCAAAAGCCCCCCCCCGCCTAAAGCCGCTGCTCAGCCCCAAGAGCTCTGCCACCGCCCCTGCTCTCCGGAGGAGGAGGAGCGTGTTCCTGATGCCAGACCCCATGCAGCCTCTGGCCGCTGCCAGGCACCTCTGAACTGGAGGTGGGAACGAGGGCCGGCAGCTCCTTGCCGAGTGGGGAGGAAGTGCACTGCCACCCCCACCTGCGGGGCCTGGACTTCCCTGTGTGCCCATCACTGATTCGCTGCCCATCGCCACCCTCCCCTCCCGTCCCCTCCCACCACCGCCCCTGCTCTCCGGAGGAGGAGGAGCGTGTTCCTGATGCCTGACCCCG